ACCACCATCACCATCGTCATCATCATCATCAACACCATCATCATCATCATCGTCATCATCAGCATCATTGTCAACATCAGCATCATCATCATCATCATCATCATCATCATCATCATCGTCATCATCACCACCATCATCATCGTCAGCAATATCAGCAGCACCAGCACCAGCAGCAGCATCAGCATCAGCATCAGCATCATCAGCATCATAATCAGCAGCACCACCATCATCACCATCATCATCAGAATTACCATTATCATCAGCAGCAAAGGCACCATCACCACCATCATCATCAACAGCGTCCGCATCATCAGAATCACCATCACCGCTCTCATCCTCATAATCAGCATCAGCATCAGCATTGCCATCATCATCATCATCATCATCATCATCATCATCATCATCATCATTATCATCATTATCATTAGCATCATCATCATAATCACCCTCAACACCAGCATCAGCGACAGCATCAGCACCATGATCACCATCATCATCATCATCAGCAGCAGCAGCATCAACATCAGCATCAGCATCAGCATCCGTAGCACTAGCATTATCAGCTCCATCATCATCATCATCGTGGACATAATCAGCATCCGCATCACCATCATCAACAGCATCTGCATTATCATCATCAACAGCATCATAATTGTCCCCGTTATCATTGTCATCATCAGCAGCCTCATCGTCATCAGCACCAGCGTCAGCATCATCCTCATCACCTTCATCATCATAATCATCCTCATCATAATCCTCATCATCATCAGAAAGAACATCAGTATCATCATCACCAGCATCATCATCATAATCATCCTCCTGATCATCATCAGCATCATCATCAGCATCAACAGCATCATCAGCATCAGCACTATCATCATGGTACTCACTCGCAACCACATCATCTCACCATCATCAGCAGCATCAGCATCATCACCATCAACATTCGAATCATCCTCATCAGCATCATCATCATCATCATCAGCATCAGCATCAGCATCAGCATTATATTTACCTAGAGCGCAGTCCGTCAGGGCAATCAGTCAGTCATTTAATTAGCCAGGCAGGAAGCATCATCATCATCAACAGCGTCGACGTCACCATCACCATTGTCGTCATCAGCACAGCGTCATCACATCGTCATCACCACCACCATCACCATCACCATCACCATCACCATCATCATCATCATCATCATCATCATCATCATCATCATCATCATCATCATCATCACAATCACTATCACCATTTCCATTATCATCACCTTCATTACCACCATCATCACCACCACCATTACCACCATAATCATCACCCCCACCATCACCATCATTACCATCTCCTTCATCATCATCATCATCATCACCATCATCATCATCATCATCATCATCATTATCATCATCATCATCATCACCATCCTTCTCCTTATCCTCATCCCCATTACCATCCCCCTCAGCATCATCATCATCATCATCATCATCATCATCATCATCATCATCATCATCGTTTTCATCAACATCATATTTACATACAGCGTAGGCCGCCAGGGCAATCAGTCAGTCACGTAGTCGCTCAGCCAGTCAGCACCATCATCATCACCATCATCAACAGTTCCAACATCACCATCACCATCATCGTCATCTGCAAATTGTCCTCACATCGTCATCACCACCTACATCATCACCATCATTACCATTATCGTCATTCTCATCATCGCAGTCATGATCACCATAACCATCCCCATCATCAGCATCACCATCATCACCACTATCATCACCACCACCATCATCATCAGCAGCAGTACCGTCATCACCGTCAGCATTCTCACCACCCTCAGCAAAACAACCTCACCTTCAGCCTCTTCACTCTGCGGAGGTGTCCGATTTTGCGCAGCTGCCGCTGGCCGAGCAGCTGGGGCAAGCCGCCGGCCTGCGCATCCTCTTCGGCGCCCACGGCGACGGGCTCACCTGGGGCGCCTTCATGGAGCCCGGCGGGGCCGTCTTGGAGGTGGTGCCCGCCAGGCACCGAGGGGGCAAAGACGGCCTAAATTTGTGTTGTCGAGCTCCTACACATTGCTCATGGCTACTTCTTGGAAAGTTCTTTGATTTTTGGAAGCCAAGATCCTTTCGTTTCTAACTGCTCTATCCTGGGCCTCCTCCACTGGGCGAGGCTCCTCCTCCTCCTCCTTCTCCCCCTCCTCCTCCTCCCCCTCCTCCTGGAGGAGGAGGAGGAGGAGGAGGAGGAGGAGGAGGAGGGGGAAGGAGGAGGAGGAGGAGGGAGGAGGAGGGAGGAGGAGGAGGAGGAGGAGGAGGAGAGGAGGAGAGGAGGGAGGGGAGGAGGAGGAGGAGGAGGAGGAGGGGGAGGAGGAGGAGGAGGAGGAGGAGGAGGAGGAGGGTCCGCCGGGCACCGAGGGAGCCGCGGAGGGGCGGCCGCTCCGGGCACAGGCGGGTGCAGACTAGCAGACGCTCGGGTGGGGAAGAAAGCCGCCCGTCGTGCAATTCCAGGAGGGTGGGTCTGTGGCTGCTATAACCCCAGATTTCGTAATAAAAGGGAGGGGGTCACAACCCTCCCAGGCGAGAAGTTTTAGACCCCCCCAGACCATCCATGAAAGGGCGGCCCTTTGCCCAGACCCCCCCTAATCCTCCAAGACAGCTCAAATAAGACCCCTCCAAAATGTGACCCCCCCTACTTTATCATGGAATCTGGAGTCCCCTGTAGTCGCCGGTCCCGTACCTGTCGCAGAGACACTGGACATCAGATTCCCACGTCTCCCGCGGTCTTCAGCGGTGCCCGCCAGGCACCGAGGGAGCAAAGACGGCCTGAACCTATGCTGTCGAGCTCCTCGGCTTCTCGATCCGGAGCAAGTAGGCATTGATTTCGGCCTCCAGGACCTTCTGTCGGGCACCGGCACCATCGAACATGCATCCGAGACGAGGAACTACCCTCGGGAAAGCGGTCGTGGTCTCTGGGGCCTCTTGGGCAGGCTCGTCGTGGAAGCCAAACGGCATAAACATAGTCTTTCGGAGCTCCGTGCGGATTTCTTGGTTCGGCGCGCCAGGGAGGGGGTGGTCCAACGCCCATCCAAGAAGTCAAGTCCGCCCGGACCTCCAAAAGTTCATGTTTGCGCCGTTTTTTCCCAAGGCAGCTAGGCGAAGGTACAGTCAACCCGCATAGTAAGGATGAGCAACTTCCTAAGGGTACATATTGTTAATTTCTAAGTATCGGAGTTCTTTGTTTTTTTTGGGGGGCAAGATCCTTTCATTTCTAATTGTTCTATCCTGGGCCTGTTCCTGGCCACTAGTGGGCCAGGAACAATTAGAAACGAGCAGAATTAGAAATGAGCACGATTAGAAATGAACGACGTGTACCCGTGCAGCCTTGCCTCTTCGGTCATCTTCGGCCCATCCTCTACCGCTTTCGATGGCCAGCCCCGCTCGACGAGCCTCGGCGTGGGCGTCCAAGGCCCTTGCACACTTACCGCGCACCCTTACTATATACGATATACGGTATGACTGAAGACCGATACCGCAATTCCTCAGACCTCTCGCAGGTTGCGTTCTGCCCAGAGTTTCGAAGAGGATCCAGCCGTGGCGACGAGGGCCCTCGAGGACGAGCAGCGGCATCGGCACCCAGACCTCCCACGACCTGCTGCTTCCAAGGGGGGTTCGCGGAGCTCTGGACCACTTCCACGGGGCCAGCTCTTCGCCCCGGATCGTTCTGTTGACGGTCCCGGGACCCGACGAGGGCCCCGCAGTGGCTGAAACTTGGCATCGCTCGGACGTGTGCATGTTTTTCTCGGCGACGGCCATCGAGGACCATCCTTGATCATTCGGCGAGACAAGAAAAACACGCACGGAATCGACAAAGACACGAGGAATGGACGTCCGAGCGATGGCGAGGAAACGGGGGAAGGACCTCCGAGCTGGTTGCGGCGGCCTCGGTCGCCCGCCCTCCGCCGGCGCCAGGCGGCAGGGCTTCCAGGTCTGCGAGGAGGGCGCCAACAGGAACCCGCGGGGCATCTTCGGCGGCGTGGCGCGGCTGGCGGGGCAGGCGCACGTTTGCTTCGTGAGCCCCGAGTCGAAGGTGCTCCCCTTCGAGAGCTTCGAGAAGGACGCGTGGCAGTGGGGCTGCCCGCGGCGGCCACCAAGGGAGCTGCGGCGAGGGGGGGGGGCGGCCGTGCAAGCATGAAGTCGGGCCTGTCCCTCTGCAGGAGGAATGTGTTCAAAGGCAGTCAAAAGATAGTCAGGGGACGATTCTTTGGAGTATGTTTTGGGCTACTCTGGAATATGTTTTAGGGTACTCTTCATTTTTCGGCCAAAATCATCCCGTATGGGGGCCTGACATTCCCGACCTAAGATCAGAGAGCGACGGCCGGTGTTGCGACGCTCGCTGCACCTCCTGCCGGCGCCCTTCTTCCTGCGCCCGTCGCTCCAGGCCAGGTGCTGCAGCGGGAGCCCCCGCGGCCGAGGGAGAAGCCCAGGACAGCAGAGTTGACCCCGCGGAGGAAGTGGTCGACGTCCCAGGGGGATGCGACGCCGCGGGGGAAGAAGGGCAACGCCGCGGGAGAGGGTCCTCGGGCAGGGCAGGGAGAAGGATGAATCCGCTGCAGAGCGTTCCAGAACCGGGTCGGCGCCGGAGGCGCCGCCACGGGGGGGGGGGGTCCGGCGCCGACCCGAGAATTACGCGAGCGGGCCCTTCACTACCCATCTGACTACCCCCGCCCAGCCCGAAGGTTCCCCTTTGCCATACAGCCCCAGTCGGGCGGGATCGACTAGCACAGGGGTGCTGTCAACGCGCCTAGTGAGGACGCGCGCCTTCATCTAGGGCACCCTTGTGTCCTTGCCTCTGCGGCCCGTCCTTTGCCGTTTTCACTGGTCGCCCGCCGCCCAATAAGCCCGCCGCCCAATAAATCCCAACTTCGGCCTCCAAGGGTCTTGCGTCCTTCCCACCCGTCCTCAATACACTCTTTGATTGCAAGTCGTTCCAGGGCGCTCCGAAGCGCTCTCAGAGCGTTCCGGAACGCTCTGAGAAGGCTACGGCGCCCGATACATCCTCCAGAACCGCCAGATCTCGGAGCACGAGCACGAGCACGAGCACGAATCCATACGCCGTCCGGCGCGTAGTCGGGAAAAGTCTGAATTCGAGTGCTCACAGCCAGTGCGCCTGCTAAACAGGACAAGAGGAGGAGGAGGAGGAGGAGGAGGAGGAGGAGGAGGAGGAGGAGGAGGAGGAAGGTTAGGAGGAACGAGTGGATGGAGGAGGAGGGGAGGCGGAGGAGGAGGGGTGAGGAGGGGGAGGAGGTGGAGGAGGAGGTGGAGGAGGGAGGAGGAGGAGGAGGAAGGAGCGAGGAGGGAGAGGAGGAGGAGGAGGTAGGAGGAGGAGGAGGAGGAGGGGGAAGAAGGAGGAGGAGGGGCAGGAGGAGAGGAGAGAGAGGAGGAGGTGGTCAGGAGGGAGGCGAGGAGGAGAGGAGGCTGGATGGGGGGGGAGGGGAGGAGGAGGAGGAGGAGGAGGGGAGGAGGAGGAGGAGGAGGAGGAGGTGGAGGAGGAGGAGGAGGAGGAGGAGGAGGAGGAGTGTAGGAGGGAGGAGGAGGAGGATGAGGAGGAGGAGGAGGAGGAGGAGGAGGAGGAGGAGGGGGAGGGGAGGGAGGAGGGAGGAGGAGGTTCGGTCGTTCCTCGCCCTCGAGTTTGTCCCCGTTCTGGTTCGTCTTCAGGTTTCTCGGGCGGCTCCGCGCCCTGCCTTGCGAGCCAGTCACGCATCCGCGCCCCGGGCGATGATTCATACACTGGGCGTCAGGTCTGCGTGTCGTCGTCGTCGTCGTCGTCGTCGTCCTCGTCGTCGTCGTCGTCGTCGTCGTCGTCGTCGTCCTCGTCGTCGTCGTCGTCGTCGTTGTCGTGTCGTCGTCGTCGTCGCCCTCGTCGGCCAGATTCTTTGGCCGTTCTCCAGCGGCAGACGTCCATGTGGGGGCTGAGCCATCTTACGCACTCACTCGGTGCGTGGCCTCCCCCCCGGAGGAGGAGGAGGAGGAGAAGGAGAAGGAGGAGGAGGAGAAGCGATGATGATGATGATGATGATGATGATGATGATGATGATGATGATGATGATGATGATGATGATGATGATGATGTGCTCGAGATGTGAGTGATGCTGATGTATGACATGATGATGAAAATGAGATGTGGAATGATGTGGACGATGCTGATGTGATGCTGCTCGTGCTGATGCTGATGCGTGCGGATGCTGATGTGATGACTGACGATGATGATGATGACGCCGACGATGATTGATGCTGATGGTCACCATGAAGAGCATGATGACGGATGCTGATGATGGATATTGATTAATAACAGGCGATGCTGTGATGATGATGCTGATGACTGATGATGCTGGTGTTGCTGAGATGATTGATAATGGTAAGCGTTGGCAGATTGATGATGACGTGAGGATGCTTGCTGCTGATGCTGGCACGATGATGCTGTTGATGTTGATGATGATGCAGAGCGCTCATGCGGATGTTGCTGATGATGAGCGAGTGACGTCGGACTGACTGGTGATGATGATGATGATGACGATGATGGTGATGATGATGGTGATGATGATGATGATGATGCTGATGCTGATGATGATGATGCTGATGATGCTGATGCTGATGCTGATGCTGATGCTGGCGCTGATGCTGATGCTGATGCTGATGCTGATGCTGATGTTGATGATGATGATGCTGATGCTGATGCTGATCATGTTGCTGATGATGACGATGACGATGCTGCTGTTGATGATGATGATGATGACGATGATGGTGATGATGATGATGATGATGATGCTGATGATGATGATGATGATGCTGATGATGATGATGATGATGATGATGATGATGCTGATGCTGATGCTGATGCTGATGCTGGCGCTGATGCTGATGCTGATGCTGATGCTGATGCTGCTGCTGATGATGATGATGACGAAGAGGGGGAGCAGGAGGAGCAGGATCGAAGAGGAGGAGGATGAGGAGGAGGAGGAGGAGGAGAAGGAGGAGGAGGGGGGGGAGCAGGAGGAGGAGGAGGAGGAGGAACGAGGAGGAGGAGGAGGATGAGGAGGAGGATCGGTGGCGGGGACAGGGAGTGGCTCACAAATGGCCTAAACATTTTACCGCAGTCAGACCCATCTCTTTGCAGTACTCACCTCCCCTCCCTCATATTAGCCTCCCCTACATTATCTGGCCTTCTCTCTTCCCTCTCCCCCCTTTCGGGACCCCCTGACTCATAGGTTGCGGCCTCTTTAGCACGTTTTCATGACACTCACCCTACATGGCAGTACAGGCCAGCCTGTAAGGCAAGCCTTTTATCCTGTTTCGCAAACTCACACGCTCCAACTAAACTTGGGGGCTTGAGTAAGTGGCAGACTTGGTATTTACTTGAGGGCGGGGGTCTGCAAAGGTACTCCGGCCTTGCCGTTAGTCCCACCTGGCGGGCGCAGAGTCTGATGAGCTCCTCTGCATCAATCTGTCT